ATCCTGTTATCATTGTCAAAAAAATTCGTGAAGATGATAATGATGTCACATAAAGGTTGAATATAGTCCATATCATGTTTCGAATAAGGACTTTGTTCACAATGAGGAAATTGAGCTATCATATGCAGGTGGATTTTCTCTGTTTTGTTTAAAATTACAGTTAAAAGCTTATAATTTACCTTAGTTAAAAAATACTTTAAAAAGTTGTAGAGACATTAGGTTAATTGGAAAAGCCTGAAAGATGAAAAATGATCAATCATCTTCGCCGGTAATCGAACCGCGTATCTCTAAACACCGACGTGCAGAATCACTACACAACGAAGGCACGCTAGGAAGGCGGGAGAAAATACCTTTTAAAGGTATAAATAATTGTCATGATTTACAGGAATTGAAGCGAATAACGATACTAATGCGTAGTTCGAAAGGCTAGTAATAACTTGACGATTCTTGTTCGAACGCTAATTTTGTTTCGACGAATTTGCATCAGTGGTAAATTTGATCTTGATTTGGATACAAAACATTCATGACGATATCTTTCATTTATATTTAATGAAAGCACCAAATATATCACAGCAATACACATACATCGCAATGGCGAACCACAGTTACATAATGTAAAAAAAAAAACAGAATTCCTTTGGCGCAACAGCGCCCTCTATACTATGAAAAGTTCCAACACACCCCACCTGTGCTCTTTTAAGAGCACATTAAATTTACATATCAATAATATATTTAGATATAATCAAAATCAATATGCACAAATTAATACTGAAAACTACATTGCAAATTAAATACAATACATGAACAAAAAACATATATATATAACTTTAAACTTCAAAAGGATAGATTAATTGGACGGGTCTTCGATAAAGTCCTTGAGAAGTACGAATCAAACATGAACGCACATACCCATCCCTACCTTTATAAACTTCTTCTATAATTCCAATAGGCCATAAAATTTTGATTTCGTCGACCCCTCCAGCAATACAACCTCACCCTTTTTAAGATTCCTTTCAGGAGATGGATTTAGAAAAGTATGCGCAGACCGTAATTCGAGGAGATAATTCTCCTTCCACTTTTTCCAAATTTGTTTCAAAAGATTAGTTTGATACAGTTTTCTCCTAGTCAAAGTCTGCCTGTTCAATGGTTCATTCCTGAAAAGGTCGGCGAAATGTACAGGATAAAGAATATTTTTCTTGCCCTGGAAACAAGAAATGGGCAGGTGTAAGAGCTTCTGGCTCTTTTATTTCATTATGGACATAAGTAAGAGGTCTATGATTTAAAACTAACTCAATTTCTGATAGAATAGTCATCATTTCCTCAAAGTTAAGAGCCCTTCCGAGAACCTTTCTCAAAGGATCTTTGATACTTTTCATAAGCCTTTCATAAAAACCACCCCACCAAGGCGCGTGAGGCGCAATATATTGCCAAGTTATGCCGTTTATTGATATGAAATCTTTCAATTTTGAATCTATTATAATTTTTGCAAATTCTTTAAGAATTTCATTAGTGGCTCTAAAGCTCTTAGCATTGTCGGAAATGATAACTTTACAATTTCCTCTCCTAGCTAAAAAATCTCCTTAATGACAAAATAAAATTTTTTGTTGACATATTTGTGATTAATTCTATGTGCACAGCTCTAGTAACACTGCATGTAAATAATGTTATGTAAGCCTTTTGAGGCGTAATCCTTTCCTGATTTTATTAAAACTGGGCCAGTGAAATCTATGCCAGTTACAGTAAAAGGAGGGTTTTCAGTAATTCTACATTTAGGTAGTTGACTAGTTATTTGTTTAGCTGGTTTCAACTTATACTTTCGACAAATTAGGCAGTTACCTAATACTCTTTTTATAATTTGTCTACCTCGTGGAATCCAAAATCTAGACCTAATTTTGGCTAGCGTAAATGTAACTCCACCATGAAAAATTTTATTATGTTCTCGAATAATAATTAACTCTGTAAATTTAGACTGCTTAGGAAGAAGTATAGGATGAGCTTCATCCTTTGTAAACGCTCCTTGCTTCTAACCTTCCTTTTATGCGCAATACACCACAACTGTCGAGAAATGGGGCTAAATTTGAAAGTGGAGAGTTTTTAGGAATCGATTTACCATTTTTAAGGTTCTGCAATTCTAAGTTGAACTCTATGTTTTGCTCATGTTTTATCCAGTCTATTTCAGCATTTTGAAGTTCTTCTGCTGTGAGGGGACCTGCAATCGTTTGTCGTTTTTGAAGTTTATTAACAAACCGTTTAACTAGTGCAGTTACTCTTAGTACCTTTAACAAACAACTATATTTCCTTAAATCTAAAATAAATTTCGAATTTTCTACCAAACAGTTATTTTGCACTGTACTTTCAAATTCTCTTTTTAGCTCTAAGTCTACGTCTGTAGATTTTAAGTTCTCTCTTTCAGTAGGCCAGTATTCAGGTGATTGGCTTAGCCACGGTGGACCGTGCCACCAAAGATGGTTTGTAGCTAAATTTGCTGCAGAAATTCCTCTGGACAAGATATCTGCAGGGTTATCCTTACCAGGACAATGAGCCCAATTATTGGTATCTGATAAAGATTGAATTTCTTCTATTTCTTGTTCTTCTTTCAACAAATTCATCAATGTCACTATTTAGTATGTTAATAATTTCAATTTTACTATTCAACTGTTCTAAATATGAATCACATACATCTATGTCAATATCTGATTCATTCAAATATATGTTTATTTTTTCTACTAACTTTAATGTTTGTTCACGATGTGTGTCACGCTTAATTTGAAGCTTTAACAATTTAGCCATTTTCACAGTTTCTAGCAACAAATTTTACCCCTCAAATACTTTAACAATAAATTCTAATTCTAGAATTCTAAGAAAACAAACTGTAATTTTCAACAACAAATCACACTTCAAAGCATTAACAACAAATTCTAATTCTAAGAAAAAGCACAACATTTTCTTACTTTCAAATATCCAATGCAAATATTCAGTAAATGCGAAACCTAAAGTTGTAAATTTTTTACCAAACAAGATCAACAACATCAAACAACCCTACCTACTTCAACAATTACAAAATATTCTATTCAAACCAAATTTTCAACAAAAACTATTTACTCACCCCACCATTACGATAACTCCCGGCGACAGCACCACATGTTACGAAGCGAATAACGATACTAATGCGTAGTTCGAAAGGCTAGTAATAACTTGACGATTCTTGTTCGAACGCTAATTTTGTTTCGAAAATTCAAGAGTCAATTTTCCCGGCTGATGCACCACATGTTGCGAAGCGAATAACGATACTAATGCGTAGTTCGAAAGGCTAGTAATAACTTGACGATTCTTGTTCGAACGCTAATTTTGTTTCGACGAATTTGCATCAGTGGTAAATTTGATCTTGATTTGGATACAAAACATTCATGACGATATCTTTCATTTATATTTAATGAAAGCACCAAAATATATCACAGCAATACCCATACATCGCAATGGCGAACCACAGTTACATAATGTAAAAAAAAAAACAGAATTCCTTTGGCGCAACAGCGCCCTCTATCCTATGAAAAGTTCCAACAAAAGGGCAACTGGGGTTTTTAGGGGACCCAATCGCCAAATCCTGGCTGAGGAGAATCATCATCCAATGGTCTTGTTTAGTTCGGACGTCACTGTAGAGACACTAGGTATTTCTGGGAAGCAGGAAAGATGAAAAATTAACAACGCCTTCGCCGGAAATGGAGCCACAGACCTCTGGAATACTGGCCCAACGTGCAGAACCACTACACCACGATGGCATGCAAGGAAGGCGGGAGAAAATACCTTATAAAGTGAATCAATTCATTAAGTTACAACACATTTTTCTCATTGGGTAGTCTCATTCATTTAGAGTAAAAGTGATTGTAATTGGTATCAGTAAATAATTATTCACATTTTCACTAATGAATTAATTTGTAACTTAAATTTTATTAAAAAGAAGAAAATTATGCAGTGTTATCTTCAATATAAAAAACATTTTTTGCTTTTCATTAAGAAAAATTTCAAATGCTTGCAAAAATATCATAATAATGCAAGGTTTTAAAAAACAGGGAACTTTTCTTACCTTCTCATCTATTGGCACAAATATTTTTAGACTAGAACTACTGTAAGGGAAACCAATTTAAACTATCACATTTAATATGAAACTTTTGTTTAATTTTGTTCTTATAAAGGGGAACAGCTGATTTAATTTTCCCTTCTCAGTTTTATATTTAAATTCGATTACATGAACAATTTTGGAGGTGATAATACAGTTTCTCTGAAACTTCACAGCAAAGATCAACAGTTTTAAAATTTACAACAAATTTAAAAGTATAAATTTTGTTTCGGGAACGGGAAATTCAGACGACAAAGTGTGCATGACAGTCGATTAACAGCAAACTTCAGCCTTTCCAAGCAAATATCAGCAATAAAGTGAAATGATTTAGAAGCAAATAATACAGTAAAGACTAGAAGACCAAGCTATTCAAAAGCCCAAAATCTATTTGGTGCTTAAACTTTTTTCTTGTGTTATTATGCAATATATATTAGGTGCTGGATTTTCCGCGCATTTTTCACTGCCGTATGTACATAAAATTCAACAAGCGATATCCAGACCTGTAACCTTGAAGAAATCTACATCACTTTGAATTACAAAAGTAATTTACAGTGATTTCCATTGCATTTCGTTGTGAGTATAAAGATCAACGAAGCGATGGATTATTCTGCTTTTACCATCCGAAAAGATTCTTCGAAAATAAATTGATAACCTTGTGTAATCTGTGCCTCTTTGGCTGTCCTGCTAGGATTCTGATGACAATAAGCTGAATTTTGTAAAACGCATCTGGCACCAAGGCCGTTTACGGGCATGTTTCTCCAGAAAACAATACTTTAATAAGACAGTTCTCTTTTTTACGCGAGAAAGTGCAATAAAACACCCGAAACAGGTCAAAAGAATTCTAAAATACTGTCAGATATATATGAACATACAAGATACGATTTAGGGGAGGAGGTGGGTGTATATTATACACCTATATATACAGTATCTGTGGGAGAAAGTGATCATTACGTTGGGGAGAAAGTTTATTTGCTTGTATTTGGGTTTTAATTTTTTGAAATGGCGAAAGCGGTAAGTAGAGTTCATCTAATTAATCTGCGTTTTATGTAAGGAGAAAGCTTGAAAGGCTATTACGTTTCAGTGAGAATTTTAGAAAATGTTAAGCATTTTCATTACAGTATCTGTTCACAAACACAGCTATTTTCGAATAGATATAAGAAAAGGATAAATAAGGAATATTAAATTTTTAATATATATATATATAGCTTAATATTCTTTATTTGGGGAAAAATGTTCTAAATATTACAATCCATTAATTTTAAGACACATGTATGTATATACACACACTAAAAATCCATAACTATTCATTACGGGAATAATTATACTTCCCGATATTTTGTAAATATATTTCTATAACTCGTGTTAAATTATTATATATTTATTTGAATTCTGTTAAAGGTTTAAGAGTTTTTGAGTTAAGAAATCAGCTTTTATTTTAATTTTGGAATCTCTTATCTACGATGATAGCAAATAATTATTAAATACATAGTTTTTCATATTTAGAATGAGAACAAATAACTGTTCCCTGTATTTGTTTTACTGTGTCATTTATTTTCTCATGATGTTAAGAATTTATCTTCTGTCTCTTATGTTACCTAAATCATTGATTCTATTATAAATATATTTTGCTTTACCTAGGGTTAAAAAAATTCTAAAAATTTTAAAAATGCCCGCTTAAAAATTTGCTCTATTTTCAGACTATCAGTGCATAGAAATAGTATAATTGATGTTTCTTTGTTATTTTCTTTACATGAAGAATATAATAAGGCCATGAAATATTTTTAATACAACTTCTAAAGAATTTTGGTATGCGGTGAATCTATTTAACTTTAACCATTTATTTATTATCCAGGTTAGATTGTTTATTATGACAAAATACTTCCTAATTATTTACTTCAGAAAACATACCTTCATGGACGATCGTCTAGAGAAAGTTGACTTATATTAGCTTTGCATATGAAGAAGCTCTGTGTGCATTCGCTTTTCTTGTTTGAATAAGGCAAAGCACTCGAGGGATATCTGCTTAGACGGAGGAGTGCCTTCGTGGAGAATGTTTTTATGGAAACTGGCTCGTATATATGTTTCACATGGGAAAAATCATGAAAACGCACATACAGGCAGCTCATTCGTGGGATTCGAACCTCGGACCGAACTACCAGTGTTCAGTGATTTTACCGCTTGGCCGCTGGTGGGCACTCGCTTGTTATTACCACTGTTGTGTTCCTGAAACTAAATGGATAGCGGTTTAGTCACTTGGCGTACGGTAGGCTATTTATTATACAATCTAGTATGATATTATTGGAAAACCTATCTAATTGTAAGAGGATGTTTTTTTCCTTCTTATTAATAATGGTAATTTAATTAGAATAAATTTGCTTTTCAGTGGGGTTGCTGAATCTTTACTGCACCTCTGAAAGACTAAACACTATCCATTTAATATAGAAGTTCTATAAGCTTAGGTAAATTATAAAAAATAGCTCTAGTTTAATTATGAAGTTGTGCATAAGTTTATAGTCACCATACAGTATATAACGCTTATTAATTAATTTTTAGATTTTTTTAAAGTTTTTTTTATTACTATTGCTGTTCTCATTACGTTAATTATATTTCCTGAAAACGCTTCTTTATTACTGGAATTTTAATTTTAATTTATATTTATGCTATTAGACTATATTATAAATGCTATTCGTTTTTGCTATTATAAATGCTATTCGTTTTGTTTCAGAAAGATTGATTGAGAAAGTGTGATGGGCGCTTACATATTAGCTCAACCATCTTAGTAGAAGCCACCAAATTTTCAAAATAAACCGAACTCTGGCAACCATGCGCATAACAGTTCTTCAGTTTTAGAAAGTAATATCATAATTTACGTTTGCTGTTTTGTTGTTGTATTCCAAGCTACAACGGTTTTTAAAAGCAAATCGTGATATTTTTTAAACTGAATTTTAAAGTATGCGCTTGTGGGATTTGCCCATAATCGGGAAAAAAAAACGCAATAAAACATCTGCAGGAATACAAAATTTTGCCTCAAAATCACTAAATAGAGAATTGATTTGAATTTGTTCTTCAAAAGGTCGCAACGAAATTTCTACCAGAACGAAAGAAACACGCTCTTGACTATAAGTAATAGTTTTACTAATTGAATACTGAATTGAAACGTAAAATATGAATCTAGTAATACGTTACACGTGGTAAAAAATGGGAAAATATAAACCATTATTCTTTTTCTTAAAAAATGTTTCCAACTGTGCCAACTGTGCTAATACATACGTACCGACTGAATATGATCATGCGTCATAAATGAAAACCCAAACAAAATGCTTTCTGTCAAGCCTGTGGTAGTCTACTGGTATTTCAAACTCAGCCGGCATACAGTTTTAATACACTTTAAAATACGTATTTCGATATTATACAGTAGCTGATAAGGGAAGAAGTGTATTTGTCAGATAATTAGGAATAGGATCAGAGTAATGATGGGAGAATGCAGGCTGTTGCGCGGCTTAGAAACACATTTTTGTACTCATATTTAAATGTTTCATATTTAAAAATAAGCAGGTTGGTTAGAGTTGATTAGAAGGAAGGAAGATATTTCCATAAAGGAAGTAGGAAGGCTATCAAGAATTCTGAAACAAGTATACTTTGTTTGCTTTTTTGAATACAGAAAACATAGGAAGGCTCTCTGCCTAAGCTGAAGGATACTTTTCAGAGGATGTTTCTGGAAAAACAAAACTGGCTGGTATTCATATATAGAGAAAACCACAAAAACACTCATGCAGAACAGTATTTTCTCTAGAATTCAAATCCGGATCAAACTGCCAGCATACAGAGGTTTTAACCACTCAGCTACTAATGGCTGGAATAATTGTCAGCTAATTGTTTTTAAATGGTGCACCATAATGCTCTAGACACAGTGCTCATTAAAAATTTACCGCAGTTTTTTTAACAGATAATTTCTACAACGTGCAGTGCGAAAATTATTCAAATGTAAGAAAGCAGGCTTGAAGTGAAATGTAAGAAAGCAGGCTTCAGCTTAGGCAGATAGCCTTCCTATGTTTTCTGTATAAATGCAACTTAAATTTGACTTAAAATAAATTTAAATTAGGCATAATTTAAAATTAATTATAAGTTATGCCAAATTTAAATGCAGTTAATTTTGAACCGTAACTGCATTATGCGCTTTATCACAAAATAAGTACAAGGAGGAAATGAAGAACAGTCTTAGACTGAGCAAAAACAAGCAGAGTATTAATTTCTGAAGATTATATTTAAGATTTTTATGTTTAAAAGAAAATGCTATATTAAGAATTTGTGTTTAATTATGTTTATGGATATTAATTTCCGATGGTTAAAAGAAAATTGTTCTCGCTGACAGTCTTATCGTTTAGCTGCTGATCAGATTTGTAATATTATGATCTAGATGGGGTATACTGAAATGTAAATGACACTGAACAACTGAACTACTACCACCACCACCCTTGAACGAAGCTCAGATCGCATAAATTTACGAGTGTTAGAGAAAAAAACTTAATCAGGATGTTGGGGTTTTAATTTTTGAATTTAATAGTTAAAATAAAACTACTTTGCTTCTTTGCGTTTTCTCTTGCGTAAAAAAAAAAAAAAAAAAAAAAAAAAAAAAAAAAAAACCGACGCACCAAGTTATCCGAATGGAACGAAAATCGGTAGAAGTGATGTACATGTACAGAAAAACAAATGATTACAGTTTGAGAAAAATTGGATGATTTATTGAAGTGATAGAGCTTTACAAAGTGAAAAAGTCAGTAACGCGTTTGTCCAGGCCAGTGCGAATTTGGCACGATATCTCTCAGGATGTCCTCCTGAGAGATATCGTGCCAAATTCTGTCCAACTGGCGCGTTTGATCGTCAACATCCCGAGCTGGTTGGAGAACCCTGCCCATAACGCTCCAAACGGGCTCAATAGGAGAGAGATCCGCCGACCTTGCTGGCCAAGGTAATGTTTGGCAAGCACTAAGACAAGCAGTAAAAACATGTGCAGTGTGAGGGCGGGAATTATCTTACTGAAATGTAAACCCAGGTTGGCGTGACATGAAGGGCAACACAACGGGCCTTAAAACTTCGTCGACGTACCGCTGTGCTGAAAGTTTCCGACGGATGACAACCAAAGGAGTCCTACTATGAAATGAATTGGCACCCCAGACCATCACACCTGGTTGTCGGTCTGTCGGCCGGAAGACATATTGGTATCACACCGATGTCCGGGGCGTCTCCAAACTCGCCTTCGTTGGTCTTCGGGGCTCAGTTCAAAGCGGAACTCATCACTGAAAGCTATTATACTCCAGTCAGTGACATTCCAGTGCGAATGAGTCCGACACCACTGCAAACGGGCTTGACGTTGTACAGAGGTCAATGGCAGTCGGCGTGACCTCACCCCCCTTTTTGTTAGCCGTCTATGAATTGTCCTTGCGGTCACTGAAGCACTAATTGCACGTACAATCGATGATAATGGTGCATCTGGGGCTGTGAGTGCCGCTCTGACGATTGCTCGGTCCTCACGTTTTGTCGTTTCTCTAGGTCTACCGTTTCCTTCTTGACGCTGTGTGCGGCCATAGTTCACCCATTCCTGCCAACATCGTCTAATTAGTGGCATCTTTCCTGCTCAAATGCCGAGCTATTCGCCGATAAGACCAATCGGCCTTCTTCTGGGCCCAAACTACACGACCTTCTCTCAAATTCTGACATCTGCGCATATCGTTTCCGCGTGCACCTGTATGCGAGGCATAGTTATTGTCTACCAGAGTACACGGAATGAAATTCATGAAGAATTTATGACCTGGAATCGTAATTTCTCCTCTTAAATATCCTGCCAGTTGCGCAGATCAGATGCGTTGTATCGGCAACCGTTCATTGTTGTATTGGCAGCCAAAATGTAAAATTTTACATTTTCTGTCGAACCTGTATGCATATCAATTTGTGTCCAATTTGCTTCATATCTTCTCAGAACGTCGGGGCGCGTCTTTTTTTTTTTTTTTTTT